AAAGGATATAAATTGCATTGGAGATTCATTTTCAATACAAGGATAATATAAAAAATAATTATGAAGAAAATAAAATTCAAGCTAATGTTTTATTTTTATTCTATTCTATTATTGAAATGTATCATTCATTAGCCTTCATGAATAAAATTCAATAGCTTATGAAAATGCAGAAGTAAAATATTTCACAATAACATTTGGAGGTTCTAAACAGTTCACATGATTTGAGTTATAAACTGTCTAAAATAAATCTGTAACCACCAAAAAGTATCTACACTTTGGATACAATTTTCTGCTTCTAACCTCCAAACAGATTATTCTGTCAATCTTTAAAGGTAGTATATGGCCCGATTAAACCCTAATTCAATAAAATCCATGCTTGTAATTGATGATGAAATTAATAATCACAAAAAAAAAACAATGGATTTGACATGATCTTCCAAGCATTCTCTCTCTATATAAATATGAGTCCCACAAATTGATCTTAATTAGAGGATTAGTTAAAAACATAATTTTAAGTCATTCGATTATACAAATGTTCAGAGTAGAGAGTTTTTTTTGGACTATTCAAGTATTTATTATAATTTAGAAGTATTTATAAGTTGCAAAAGTGTTATTAGAAGAAAAGTTATAAAAATGGAGTCTTAGTAAGTCTTGGAGGCAATTATCTTAGTTAGTTTAGTATTTTTCTTATTGTTAAGTATTAAGAGTTAGTTATTGAAACCAATATCTTCATTGGCTCCTATCTACATGTATTACTTATAAAATCCTATCAATGATTAGTTAGTAGTTAGAAGAAGCATGAAAAAGAGCTTCATGTCTTTTTAGTTAATTATATAAAAAATAGGATTTTTAGTGGATTTAAATTGATTTTATTACTATAAAAAACCACCAAAATAGGAAAATACAGCCTCATATAGATTTAGTATTATAGAAACATTATAGGATTTTTTAGAATTTATTTGGAATTTATTTAGAATTTTTTATGAATTTTTAGAGAAAATTTCAAGACTTTGGTAAAATTGAGTTTTATCATCTTGAGAGCCATTATGAAGAAATGAAGCAAGATTTGAAGACTATGCAAGTTTTCTAGACTAATTCGGTGTTTTTGAACACCATGGTGAAGTTAAAAATGCAAAAAAAGTAGTTTTATTAGTAGAAAATAGGAGGACCAGCAGCTAGTGTAGTCCTTGTAGGAAGAGAGGTGCACAATTCCCATATGGGTTGTAGCACCTTGGGTATAGGTAGGAAGAAAAAAGGCCTTGAGGCCTTTTGAGGGGGGGGGGGGTATACACTATTTGTGAACCTAGGTGAGGCTCGAACTCCTAATTTCTTAAGCAAGTTACCCTTGAGGTAAAAATTATTCACTTAACTTTTCTATTATTTACATTCTATCTTTAATCTATCATAACTTATTCGTAGTAACTTGGAATTACATGATTTTTATGTCATTGGAAAAACAAAAAAAAATATCTATTTAAAAATATTTTTTACTTTTTACTTTCACTTTTTATTGGGTGAAAATCCAATGAACGGATTGTGACTTCGTTTTGGATGTTGTGATTACTTGATTTCATCTCTTTTAATTGTATTGTGGATGTTCCTCCTTGGTCTTTTGCCAATTGCTTACTTCACTTTACACCACCAATTACAAGCAACTCTTAATTGAAGCCATCTTGTAATTGGGGCTGAGGAGTGAAATTTACACTCACAATAAAAAATACATGTGTATTCTTTATTCATTATTTTAATATTCAAAATCAAAATCTAATTAAATATCAATACGTTTTTGTAATCAAATATTCAATTCTTTGAAAAACATGTTGTAATGATACTTCATTATCATCATAAATCAATTGTTTTGTTATTCATATTGTAATATATATATATATATATATATATATAATCACATGTAATAAAATAAAATAATAAACGGTTCTGAAAAACTATCATTAAAAAAATCTCCATGTTTTATTTATTTATACTTAAAAATAAGTCACAATATTGACTAAATATTGATTATCTTTAATTTTAGTAAATTAAATATATGTTAATTTAAAATTAATTATGTTTTATTATTTTTATTCTTATTTTATCATTTTAATATATAAGAAACGTGTACTGTAAAAACATGAATATTGAAATTTTAGTTTGTAATTTTTAATTAAATGAATGTATTTCTAATATTTATTTTAGTTGTTTTTGTATTTGTTTAAAAATATATAATTATGTATTTTTTATTCTTAACTAATAAAGTTTTATTTTTATTTTTTATTCTTGATTATTATTTCTTGCAAAATTTATGAAATTTCCTTCTACCAAGGTTATAAATTAAGCAAGATACATTTGTATTTCTAAAAAATTTATTAATAAAAATTCGGCATAAAATGAAGTAAACAATAAATCTTTATTAAATTTATATGACTTAGCGTACTAGGTAAAATTCATATAAATAAATATTAATAATAATTTAAAATGACAAAGTTCAATAAAAGAATATGAAAATGTGAACCGTTCTTTGTGGATGTTCAATATATTTTTTTAGACGTGTTTATTTGTTATTATAATTTCATTTAGGCATCAGTAAAACAAGTGTTATTTTACATATAATTGAGTTCAAAATTCTGATATATGTTGCTGTTAGACAATATGTTATCAAGCTTTTGATGTTAATTTTGAAATAATTTTTTTAAAAAAACTAAAAATATAATAATAATGGATTAAATAGATCTGTTTAAACATTTTTCCTTAGAAAATATTTATGTTGGTAAAATTTTAGTATACTTAAGTAAAAATATACCACAAATTTTGATGTATTCTTTATATTGCTTAGATAAATTTTGAGTTTTAAAATTTTGAGTATTCAGATTTTTATTTGAATCCCATGATTATTCTTAGTCTTTTTATTTATATATGATGTAGTAACTTATTTTGAAACGCATTCTTTTATAAAAACATAGTTCATCATCATATGCTTTGATTTTCAATTGCAAGTACTACACATTCATTTCTTTAACAATTTATCAACATTCTTACATGACACCAATTTAAGAAATCTTTTCATTATTACCGGAGATGTAAATTTGCATGTCACAGACGTGTTCAGTAGTGAAAACAATTCCTAACAACCATTGTTGCCCACATCTCTTGAATTATTTGTTGAATTTCACAACTTTACCATGCAACTTATTGTGTTCTGCAGCAACAGCATAGTCGTTTTAATCAATGTGCACAGTCTGTGAGTGTCGTAGTCTTGTTGTGCATGTGTGGGGTCCAAAAAGCGGTTGCAGAATGCCGAAGATATGTGATGATCTCTGCCAAAGTATTGCAATAAGAGCAGTTTGTGCCGGTGATCATTGTCCTCGACTGGTGGTGTTTCTCCGAGTTCTTTCGGTTGTCTCCGAAAGTTCCACCGAAACGACGATGTGATGCGAGCACCACCAGGTCGGAGGCAACGCAGGGCTGGAGGTTGATCCTTTTCTGTGTTGAGCAAGCAGCCTGTCATTGTGGGCATTTCCTCGCTGGGTCATGGTCTACCCACCCATCGTTTTGTTCCACCCTCCCCAAGAAATGAGTGTAGGTGTGGGTAAGTGCGTTTCCCTGGGTCAATCAAGTAGTGAGTAGTAGTGGTTCAGACTTTGAGAGACAATAGTCAATAGACCATCACGAAATGTGCATGGTGAGGGTGTCTGAGAAGGCACCAGCAGCAACAAGAGCGTAGTTCCCTTCTGCAGGAGGAGGAGCTAATAGCACATGGTGGGTGCTACTTGGAACTCTTCCTCTTCGCCTGCTGTGCTTTCCATAATTTGAGACACCCTCTTATTTCGGCTTGACTTGGACAACACTTCATCTTGCCTCAAAAGTGATTGAGCAAAAGTCCTTCTCTTGTAAACTCGTGTAAGCAGCATTAGTGCTGATTGTTATTTACTTATTGGCTGGTAGATCCAGACTTGAGGTGACAATATTGAGTCCAGTCAATGTTTACTTCAAGCACCGAGTTTAGACTTGAACGCTGTCTAACGGGCAGAACTTCAGAGAGGTGATCTATTCTTGGACCCACCAAGCACTTTACATCACTGATTTCAAGGCAAGCCGAGACTCTGGAAGTTTGGTGAGAATTCTCAATTCTTCTCTCTACCGTTTCAGCTGGTCAAACACTACAAGACCACACACGAAAAGAAGCTCTGCGTGAACCGAAATCAACAGACTATTCTGAATATTACACCAGTCTGAGGTCTCTTCAGACTGCGGGGATTCTACTCCAAGCGACCAGTAAGCGAGAAAATGAGTGTTTGCCGATGCACATTCAGCATCGTGGTGTTTACCATTCAACTGTGAGAGCGCTGGACAGGTGGAATCTACAAATTAAGCAGAATAACATCGGGCTTGGTATCTACTGTTTCCATTATTACTATACTATTATAAAAGCAGGACATTTTTATATACTCTCCGATGTAGAACTTCACTTGCGCAGTCAGCAACCTCCACCTAATCTGAATCAGCACCAAAACCTTCCTGTGCCAATAATTTCTACACTCATTAAATGGGGCTGTCAGACAGCTACTATTGCATCATCCCACACGCTCCACTTACCGCATGGTAATCTCGCGAACACCCTCCCTTCTGAGCGTTCTCAGCGGAGTTCTATTAAAGCCCCTTGGAAACTCCGGTTGCGCAGAAACTGACGCATGAGCTGGTGTCACTGCAGTATTACTGCCAAAATATCCCTGAACCCCAAATAAACAGAAAATAAGAAAAACGAAAAAAGAAACGAAGGATTAAAAAACGTTGGTTTCTCAGATGAGTGCAGAGAAAAGGAAGTAGGATGAGAGAATAAGACGAAAGAAAATACACAGAACGTGGTTGTTTTAGGCTATGTATGAAAGACCTTCGTAATCCAGAAAGGTGTCCACGACCATCGGTCGGAAGAGTTGAGGAGTGGGGCTTCCGGTCGCCCGTCAGCAGGTGGTCAAATCCGAGAGAGGCCAGGAACGCGCACGACAATCGCCGTCCTCACCCCCTGCGGTGGCGAAAAGGGGATCTGATCGGCGTCGAGTAGTGTTTAGAAAATGGTGTGTGCTGAGAGTTGCGATTTGGTAATGATGGCTGGCTCTCTCTGTGAGGAGGGGAGATATGTTTGCGTTGGTCGCCGTCCGTGTCTGCGGGAGTAGGGGAGAACCATAGTGTTCCACAGAGTAACCAGTGGGGGCCATTTAGGGGTAGGGGAGCTTGTGACCGCAGGGCGACGACTGTAAAGAGGTGTGTGAGGTTTCGTCGTTGCACCTCCGTTGCATGGCACCGTGTGGAACCAAGCTCCAGCACAGCATCCACCTTTGAACCCTGAACCAGATTACGTAATTTTTTTTAATCCTAGTTCCCCTAACCTTTGTTGCCTTGGCGCTCGCGAGGTCGCTCAATCTGTCGTAGGGGGTTCATCGACCAATTTTTGGTTGCGCTTGGTATTGGAACCGAGGTTGTCCATGGCGAAGAATGTCATGGCTGGAGCAAGAAGTTTGAGTTTTTGGAGTTGCTGGTCGTGGCGTGCGTCTCCGTGCAGTGAAGGTTAGGTAGAGATCTTAGACAATAAGAGTGGCGCATTCCGGGGCGGGGGGAATTGGTTGAGCGTGATATTGCCGAGGTTTGCTACAGTTGTGGAATCGGAGCAGCAGCGTGCGGGGGGAGGTGTTTTTCTTGGAGGTTTGGAGGGGGCTGTGGCGCGGCGGGGCTAGGTCGGGAGGGCATGATCTGATGAGGAGCGCGAATTGGATGTCGGAGATCAGCTCGCAGTCTGTTTTGTGTTTCTGTTTGGAGGGAGCGTAGTCCGGGGGAGGGGGTGAGAGATGGGGCGGGGGAGGCAGAGGATTGAGAACCCGCCGTGGAGGCAGAAGCCTGGCAGCGGAGGGGACGGGAGCTTTTCGGTGTTGGCGTTGGAGGAAGGTCCGGTGTTCTACCCTACGGAAGAGGAATTCCGCGATCCTTTGCGGTTTATTGCGCAGATTCGAGAGCAGTCGGAGTCGTATGGCATCTGTCGTATTGTGCCTCCGGCGTCGTGGAAGCCTCCGTTCGCCATCGAGTCGGAGTCGTTCATTTTCCCGACCAAGCACCAGTCCATCCACCAGCTTCAGGAGAGGACCGCTGCGTGCGATGGGGTCACGTTCAGGCTGGAATACAGCAGGTATTTGGAGGGGGAGGGGAGGCAGTTGGAGGCGTGGCCCATGTTGGAGGGAGAGGCTCTGGATTTGTGCAAGCTTTACAACGCCGTGAAGCGGCACGGTGGTTACAATAAGGTTAGAGATGAGAAGAAGTGGGCGGAGGTGTTTCGGATGGTGAAGAACGACCATCCCTTCGCCCCCGTCGCCACTGACTCGGTGCAGGCGTGTTTGAGCGAGGTGTACGAATCCCATCTTCACGGCTACGAGGTGCACCAGGCCAATGTGAGTGCCGGTAAGCTGCTGCAGATGAGCAAGAGCCGGGGGATGGACAAGACGAAGCCCGTGGGGAGGAAGAGGCAGGGGGAGGAGGAGCAGCAGGAGGAGATGCAGGGTGGAAAGAGGAGGAAGAGCGGGGAGGGAGTGGAGGTGGTGGCGGTGGAGTCGGCAGGCGTGACGGCGGCGGGCACGGAGGAGCAAAGGGCGGATCAGATATGCGAGCAGTGCCACAGCGGAGCGCATGAGAAATCGATGCTGCTGTGCGATCTGTGCAACCGAGGATGGCATCTGTATTGCCTGTCCCCTCCGCTGTCCGCCATACCTCACGGGAACTGGTACTGCTTGGAGTGCCTGGCGTCGGAGAACGACAGTTTCGGGTTCGCGCAGGGGAGGGAGTACTCATACGAGTCGTTCCAGCGTTTTGCGGACCGGTTCAGGCGCAAGTGGTTCGCATCGCGGAGCAGCCCCCCGAGCAACTCCGATGTGGAGGCGGACTTCTGGCGCATAGTGGAGAGGGGGACGGAACCTGTGGAGGTGCTGTACGGGAGCGACATAGACACGGGGCTATATGGGAGCGGGTTTCCACGAGCGTCAGACCGCGTGCCGCACGGGTTCGAGGCGGAAGCATGGGAGGGATACGTGAAGGACCCATGGAACCTGAACAACTTCCCGAAGCTGGAGGATTCGATGTTGCGGATGGTGCAGGATGACATTCCGGGGGTGATCGTGCCGTGGTTGTACATGGGGATGATGTTCTCGTCGTTTTGCTGGCACTACGAGGACCACTGTTTCTACTCGATCAACTACTTGCACAGGTACGTGAGTCGCCGGAGGAGGGTAGGTGGCAGGGGTAGGGATGTTTTGGTGCTGTGGTCCCTGGTTGCGTGACGGTCTTCGTGAATGCACAGCGGACTGGGCGATCCTGGCCGTCTCGGCCCACTTGCGCGGTGGTGATGGCCTCGTGGGTGTGACGCGAGGGGCGTTGGGTCCGGGTGGTTTGGACGCTGGGTAGAAGCATGGGTACGTAGCTAGGTTCATGGGGGTGCCGATGAGCATGGTGGTCTCCGAGGCTGGGATAGGTGGAGGCGACCGAGCTGGGGAATGGCGTTGCGCGGGGACTGAGGAGAGGGGGCGTGGTCGGCGTGGTTGGCATGGGTGTGTAGTTGCGGAGATGTGTTTGTTGGACATGGGAATGTGGGACTGACTAGGTTTATGTGGTGTGATGCGGCAGAGGTGCGCCGAAGACATGGTACAGCGTTCCCGGGAGCGCTGCGTCGGAGTTCGAGCAGGTAAGCGCGGAATTGATGCGGAGTGAGATTTGGTAGGAGAGCTTGACATGTTGCGGGACGGGTAGAGGGGATTGTGGTCTAAGAGAGGATGGATTGTATGGGTGGTGCAGGTGATGCAGAAGTCTTTCCCGGACCTGTTCGAGGCTCAACCAGACTTGCTATTTCAGTTGGTGACGATGCTGAACCCAATCGTCCTGCGCGACAGCAACGTGCCTGTGTGCACTACGACACAGGTGAGGCTTGGCGGTTAGTTTGTGGAGGTTTGGGTGGGTGACGGAAAAGCTGGTTGGGTGCAAATGGTTTGCAGTGAGCGTGTTGGATGTAGGCGATGGTCAGTGTGGGGAGTTGTGAGACGAAACGAGGTGGCAGCTTGGTTGTTGCATGATGAGGCGATCAGGTGAGGTGTGTAAGAATAGCAGGTGGTCGGACGGTGAACGTGCATCAGCATTGGGCGGTTGTGCCGCACGGTATAGGGTTACTGTTGAGTGAATGAAACCGTGCGTGGTTGTGATGATGTGACAGGAAGCTGGACAGTTTGTGATAACGTTTCCAAGGTCGTACCACGGGGGCTTCAATCACGGTGAGGAGGGGTGTTGAGAGGTGAAAAAGAGATGCTGAATGATGTGTGTGGAGGCGTGCTTGGGCGGAGCAGTGTGTTTCCGGATCCGACGATGCGAAGAACGTGTTCGTGTTGTGGAAAAGTCGGATGAGGGGTGCAGTGAGCGTTGTCGATGACGTCGGGTGATGTGTGATGGTGTTTGCAGGGTTCAATTGTGCAGAGGCTGTGAACTTTGCTCCAGCAGATTGGCTGCCGATGGGTAAATATGCGGTGGAACGGTATCGAGTGTTCCACAAGCGAGCCGTGATTTCTCACGATGAGTTGCTGTGTGTAGTTGCGAAGGTTCGTGAAATCGCGGAATGGATTTTGGTTTCCTCATGAGCACTTTCCGGCATTTCGTGGTGTGTGTGTGTGTGTGGTGTGGCTGGAGGTCGTGAGAGGTGGAAGTCCTGCAGTGGGGACATTGCGCATGTGGTGTAGAGATGGGGGTGGGGGCGCGAAGTAGATGAGGTTCATGAATCAGATTTGGAACATGCACGGAAACGAGGTTGGTTTGTGGAGTAATGCTGGTATGTGGACATGCAGAACAATATCAGTGCAGAGGCAAAGCCCTACGTGCGAAATGAGCTGGTGGCGATGATTAGGAATGAATACCTGAATCGCGAGCTGCTTTGGGCACATGGGGTGGTAAGGAGTGCACGGATGCCTCCTCGAGCGTGCGAGAATCACATCAGCACAGAAGAGGTGAGTGGGTTGGGTTACGTATGCAGTCCATAGGTGATGTGATTGCAGTGGGGTGATGAAGTTAGGGGGTGCGTCGTGGTGGGCTGTGAAACGAGGTTGGCAAGCTGAGGTGGCATCCGGCTGGTCGGGATATATGTGGGAGTAGAGAGACACAAGTCGGTGCACGAGGTTGGGATCGTTGTAGGTGCAGGAATTGTTTTGTGGAGGAACTGAACAACGTTATGGAAATATGTGGTGTTGTCGACAATGTTGGGGTGGAGTTGATGTAAAAGCAGTGGTTTGTGGTGTGGGATGCAATGAGGTGAGTAGTTTTTTGGGGGCTTGAAAGTTGGCAGAGAGTGCAGTTCCGCTGTTGCGTGTCTGGCGAAACCTCAGTGGTGGCGGATGGGAGTGTAACTGTGGCAGGTAGAGGCATGGAGGATTTGAGAGGAGGAGATAGAGGGTGGGGTGGTGTGTCGGGGCTTTTGTTGAGGCTATCAATAGGAACACTGGGATGAGGTGCGGCGATGGTTTGTTGACTGGGAGATTTGGTTGGTATGGTGTTCGCTCTGTGGCAGGATCCGATGTGCATCATTTGCTGTTACTACCTGCATTTGTCTGCAGTGGTGTGCAGTTGTCGACCTTCGAAGGCCGTCTGTTTACAGGTTCGAGTTCTATCTTGTGTTTATCCTGGCCATGTTGATCGGGTTTTGAGAAGTGGGGTTGGTGTGGGTGAAGCATACAGCATTTCTGGGTATGTGGTGTGGTGGCGTGTTGTGGTGGTGAGTGGGGGAAGTCGTGGACTTTGGCCGACGGTGGAGGCCTTGTGGCATGGTGGAACGAGGTGGGGTGTGTGGTATCTGACAGAAAGTCGTGTGGTGGTGCAGCATTCTCTTCATCTGTGCGGGTGCCCGCCAGAGCAGCAGATGCTGTTGTATCGACACTCTCTTGCCGAGCTGTGCGACCTGCTGGACCTCCT